GGCATCCACGATGTGCGACATACATACGTCCGCGCAGTCGTGCGAAAAAGGTATGAAATATGATTAATCATTTAGATATAGATTTGAAAGTGTGAAATTTGAAATCTACATACTTGATTACTCCTTACTAACAGTTAGAATGAATCTCTAGCATAATTTGAATAATATGCAAAAAGAATATGATTATTCATGTGATAAATCTGTGAATTTGTAACTTTCAGACTCTGAAATTCTGGAACTCGGACCTTTGACAACATGTTGAAACCTATCTCTAGCTTGCTTTTGTATTTTACATAAAAAGGTGTGAAAATATTATTAATCACCAAAAATTTGTGATATTTTCACTTTAGAAAAAATAATATATGGGAGTTTACTCCTTGAACTTCCATATTGTAAGTATACGTTTAGTATATGAATAGATTTTCATTGGTAATCTACATCTACATAGTGGTTACCTGTACATAATAGTCACTACTAGTCTTGAATGGCCGTTATAGACAAGATGTTCTAGGTTTTTGATATAGCCACGCAAAATGACATAGATATGGATGGGATTTTTCTCATCCACGGCAAGCCTGGCAAAAACGCTTTCTGGTTTTGTTGGTTGATGGCATAAAGAGCGGTTCGAGATTGCCAACTTAATCCTTGAAACCTTAAGGATATGGAATACCCATCGCTGATTGTCACAGGCAAGGCTACGATAATGCAGTAAATATGTCTGGCAATTCAATGGGGCTCAAAAGCATATAAATACACTAAATCCCTTATGTTTATACTCTCCTTGTGCCTGCCATCATTAAACCTGCTTGGAGCGGATTCTGCTGAAAGCTGCACCGAGGCTGTCACCTACTTTGGCATAATTCAAACAATCTACAATCTTTTCTATAGTAGTCCTCAACGATGGCACATATTACAACTTTACATAGCATGCTCTCTACATGGCTTGTCCAGAACAAGATGGATAGATCGTGTCGATAGTGTGCGGCCATTCGCAGCACATCTATCTGGTCTAAAAGTGGCACTACAACAGTTACTACCTCTGAATCTCACTCCGAAAACAACTACCGATGTAAATGGAGCCATTAAGTATGTGCTATCCCGATGATATTTTCGCAAAACGAGTTGGGAGAAGAGCTAATTCGTCTTAAAGCCATCCATATTGGTAATTTTGGAATTGAATCTTTGATTCCTCTAAATCTTTTGAATTATATCATAAAACAGTTCCATCTTTATCAATAGGCAAACATGACACTTGCCAAGGGTCTACCACTAAGGGGGCCTACTTTTTCTGATGAGAAGAATTGTCGCTATTTGCACACGATAACTAACTCGTTAAATACTTATATTTCCATTCTATAGTTATAATTATTTAATAATTCGGTCACTAAACAGTAAAATGGTATTAACCACCCATATTATGGCATTGTTCATGCTCTTATTAGTGTGATACACTAAACACTGCAGTTCACCAACTTTGACATATCTCGCTTTAGATTAACATCGATAAAATTCTAGGAAATATCATCGATAGGAATATGGACCAAAAATATTACATGCCATTGGAAGCCATTAGGAAGTCTATTGAATAATTGAGATAGTTTGATCTTACAAACAACCTGAAATTGTTCATAGGCAAGCTTTGCTGTAATAAATTTTCGGAAAGTTGCTCTTAGAAAGTTCAAAACTAGAACAATTGCATTTCGTAATGTGTCTATATTATCTGAATCTCAAGAGTTTCATGATTGATATTGGAGTTTGAAAATACAGTAGAACTCGGATATAACATACCGCCTCAGGGAAAATTAGTACGTACTAACCCAGTGTACGATATAAGCCGAGTACGTTATATGCAAGTTCTACTATAAAGGCTAATTAAATAAAGTAGATATCAATTATATGAAAATCGCCGGAAACTGTATATATATAATGATTTATATCCGGTAAGAATTCAATGCAGGGTAGCGACACTGGTCCGGTTTGTATTAGAGTAGCCTATTCAACCGGACCGCTTTCCCCGGAAGGTTAGGTTCACAAATCTGGTGGCGCCGGTGTCACATAGAAATTTCCCTACACATATATTTCCCTCCCCCCGGAAAATTATGAAGTGTAGTAAATCTCCTAGAATTCAACAAAGCAATTTAAAACAATTGAACCCATATTAGCTTCCGACAGAAGTCAAACAAGTAAATTGCAATATAACTAGGAAATATCGTAAATATATATATTATACATTTGATGAACAAATTTCACTTTGATGTATGCAACTTCCAACTTATGAAGATATTTACAATTATGTGGAAAGGGGATTCTACACAAAATCTTTTGAAAGCCTGGACAAGAAATTATTAAAGGATAATAAGAGAGATTTTAGAAATAAATGTCAATCGTTTCAAGTTGAAAATGGCCTTCTCTACCATATTCTGACGAAGTCACGACCTGATAGTATCAGAGAAGTCCCAAAGGAGATAGACAAAGGACAAATTTTTCGAGCATTGCATTGTTCTAAGGCGGGCTGTTGTTACTTTGGTATTTGTTCTACATTCAATAAGATATCTGAAAGGTACTAGTGGAAAGGGATGTACAATGATAGTTGTGAAGAAGGTCAACAGCAAAATCAATTCAAGAAAGGCCCATCCGAACTACATCCTGTGAATATACCAAATAGAAATTTTTCCAAATGGGAATGGATTTGATTGGTCCTCTCACAGCAACAGTGGAAGGAAATTCTTATATTATTGTTTTTACTGAATATCCTACTCGATGAGCAGAGGCCAAGGCAATTCCTAACAAGACTGCCTCTTGTGCTTTTGCTGCGATTTTGGATCTTGTAATAGCTCGATTTGGTGCCCCTGAAAACATAATCTCTGATTAGGGAAGAGAATTCGTAAAAGAACTCAACCATCTACTCTTTTTAGAACTTGAGATTAAGCATAACATATGCAGTGCATATCATCCGCAGTCTAATGGACTGACTGAAAGATTTAATCAAACTCTCATCACCTAGTTGTGGAAGCTGGCGAACGACAATATGGACAATTGGAATAAGTTAATCTCTTGGATATTAATGTTCTACAGGTCTAATCGACAAGCATCTACAAAATTCTCGCCGTATTTTTAGTTTATGGAATACAAATGCGACTACTATACCAATCGAGCTAGAATCATGTAAAGTTAACACAGATATGGAACAAAATAACTAAGATGTCTTGGAATCTAGAATCTCGCGGCTAGGAATCCTAAAATTGTTCAGGATTACTGCTAAATGTAACCTTACTAACTCTCAGCAAGCACAAAAACAACAATACGATTCCAAACACCAATGTCCCAAGTATAAAATGAGTGATCTTGTATGGTATAAAAACTGTCGACGCAATACACGTAAGGGTGGAAAGTTTGAATTTGTATGGATAGGGAAGAGAATCATCGTAGAAGTCTTGGAAAAGGTACATATATATTAGATGGTCTCGAAAGAATTTTTAATGCTACTCAACTTAAACCAGATATTAAGGAGGATGTGGTAACAGAATTACCAGCAAAGAAAACCAAATTAATCGAAACAATAACGAAGAAGTAATTCCACTTGAAATAAAACAGGAGGTTCAAAACTATATATTTCACCACCAGATCTACAATGGCAGAGGAACATATGCGATGCTCCTGGAAGAGTATTGAAGTTTAAGGAGAAGTCGTCACCTATTGGCCAAGTACTAAATGTAAAATTTACAACATTTTCGAAACCGGCTCGAATAAAGCTATTATCGGCGATGGTAATTGCTTTTTAGAGCTTTATCATTCGTAATTACTGGAGAAGAAGACCAGCAATCTACACTAAGTAAATATGTATGTGATTTTATGGAATTACAAGGGAAGGAAATAGGTGGAAAAACCCTAAAGATTATCTCGAAGATTCGAAAATGAGGAAAGATGGAACGTGGGGAACTACAGATGAAATTTTTTCTGCAGCAGCATTGTTAAAACTACAATTTATCCCTGGAATATATTTGGAGAAATACTCTGATGGAATCGATATAGTCATAATAAAGAAAATATTAACAATTTCGGGATATATGTTGATGATTCTACTGGCATCAATTATGATATTGTTCTATCGATTGGTAAAAAACGATAGCATTTCTTTTTCATTAGTTTTAGCTAATACGTATATTCTATTCATTTCTTCTTAAGTGCGTTTCTCATATTTATACTATTAAAACGCAATTATCCAATCATCTAATTATTTACTACGTAGTAATTTTGCAAGGGGAAAACCACTATAGGGGGATGAATACTATGTGACACCGGCCCTACAATGGAGTAGAATACAAAAGATTCGGTAAATCGAGTTAAGGTTTTATAAACGGTATTCGTATATATCTAGCATCAACTGTAACGGGATCAGTTTTACTTCGGAAACAAATATGCGCCAATTCCAAAGATGTTCATTATACACCAAACAAACTTGAATTTTACTAAATTATACTATTTCAATATACGTACTTTCCAAAGCCTGCATGTAATATTAAAAAGAAATGTATATCAACAAAAAATACTGTACTAAATTAATCCATCAATTCCCCCCTGTCATCTATTTTCAGTTCATATATTGCAATCTAAGCATTCTTTGAAATTAAAAGTGAGTTTAGAAATAAAGTCGGGAAACTCGTAATTCAACAAGAATACTTCGTAATAAGCTGAAATAGGTTGTATGCACAAGAGAGGTAGAAAATAGCATCGTTTACACTTTATGTGGTTTCAATGATTATATCAATTTTCTCCATAGACTTTGGCTTATAAGCTAGAATTGCTGTAACGTTTTTGTTTCTTGACCGATTTTAGAAATCTTTAGCTCAACCTTTATCTCTCAACATGCTTTATAACGGCTCATATAGCGATTTTTACCATCTTGCAAAAAAGTTGGGGGTGTAACATTCTATAATTGTGACTTAAACGTGAATACGTAACTTGTAGCCAATTGAATGGTAAATAAACCAAAAAGGAATGGGCTCGTCCGGGATTTGAACCCGGGACCTCCTGTACCCAAAACAGGAATCATGCCACTAGACCAACGAGCCAATCTTAATTTTTAATAAGATTAATTATTTATTAATAACTTTATTTAACCTCACATCTGCATTTTTACTGCCTGCATATATTAACAAGTACAGCATAGAGCATGCGCGTTAGGTACATAGTATCCTATACGTATATGTCTTCCGTATGTTTTTGTTGTTATGCGGGTGATCAATCGGAACACAAAACCATAAACAGTGGAACCTCCATAATCCGACGCTCAATGTGAGACGAAAAAATGTCGTATTATAGAGGTAAAATAATCCCCATAATCCGACATTATTTGAAACGAAAACAAAATGTTGGATTGTAGAGACTTAAATGTCATCATGACTATACAAAATATACAAATTTTCTAAATTTCAACAAATTTCAGAATTTCTTAAGGTTGTTGGTTGAATATTTAAATTTGTAAGAATTTTTTCTTAGAAACCCAAAAATTTCAATTCATCATGTAGCGTTAAATACGTGTTTTTTTTCTTCCAAATTAGCTCAAAATTGATTATTATAGAAATTTTTCCGTAGATTTCCATACAAATAGAGGTACATTTCAATGTTGTGATGCATAATTTTCTCTAAGGTACGCCCCATTTCCTTCTCCCCGCTTATAGAGGTTGAACTGTATTTCAACTTAGAAATTCGTTTTGTCATCAAATATAAAACAATTTTATGAGTATCCTACAAAGTTAAAATACAGACATGACAATGGATAAATACACAGTATATGTCGCTAGAGCTGAATCTTGTTTTCATAAAGCTCTTGAAATCACGAATCACGACCAACCCAGAGTTATAGCCAAGTGAAAGCTATTGGTGATTTGTCGTGATTTCTAAGCTTAGTGAATTAAGACTCAGTTCTGGCGACATCTACTTGACGCAGATCTCTAACTTAAGTAGAGAAGAATAAGAAGTAAGGAACAAACAACTCAAAATTTACCCTACAGGTATATAGCATGAGTCAAAGGTACAGAAACTAAGAGAACAAAGAAAACACCATGTAAAAGGCTACATGGCACGACTAAGGTTTCACTACACAAACCCAAACTAAAATGCTCGCTAAATTCAGTACTTTTTGGTTCCCCGAAATTTTGCCTTTTTTGCCCGAATTTTCAACACAACTTAACACTTAAATGATGTAAAGATGCTTTTGTAAAACAAGTTAAAAATTTGCCATGATAAAGTTGGCAGGTTTTTGAGTTACAATAGTGACCATGGATGATAATAATTTGTCAATTATAAGTCGAAAACCCTCAATGAAATAACAAAACTCACTATTGCCGATTTATCGTATATACCCGATTTCCCATACCCTTGTACTCAGGGCTGGCGGAACAGGGGCGGCCTGAGCCGTCCCACTTTTTATGTGAATTCTTTGAAACTTAAAATTTCGCGGGCGTGGTTCGCGATAATATTTCTGTGATCTTTTGACGAACCATGAATTTGCGGAGGCAATTCCTCTTCATCAATGGAATTCCCTTTGCGATCCCGATCCGCCACTATTGGAGGTTAAAAGTGCTAAGCTCCCTAATGCAGCAACCCACTACCTCATTCTTTCGAATAGATTCCCTGATGACCAATATTCCATTATCAAAGATGAAAGACCCTTCGAATGGGATGCAATCGCTGCAGGATCTCGTCCTCTCACCACTTATCACCTATCCTCAGATTTATCAGCAATTCGTTCGGATATTAATTGTATAGTTACTGTATTTGTTAGTGATATTTTTTTTAATTTATAGTTATATATCTCAACTTTGATTTGCATTGAGAACAAATGTAATCTCTAAGGGAGTGTCCTCAATATTTAAGACTTCATTTCATAATCGTAACGTATATTTGAGGGGTTCTCGATCCCCTCAAATCAACTTTATTTACTCTGCGGCCGCCCCACCTCCTTCGAGCTTCCGCCGGGCCTGCTTATATAAGGGTATGCAGCAGGGGCGGATCCAGGATATAATCTCAGGGGGGCCAAGTTGCGAGCGTAGAGAGCTATCCTAAGGGGGGTCTGAGAGCAGGCCCCCTATAAAATTATTAAATGTTATACGCTGAAATAGCGAACTACAGCTATTTCTACCACCAACGGAGGAAAAAGTTAATTTATCTCATTAGTTATTCATTTTGAGACAGAAAATTATATCTCAAAATCTCAGGGGAGGCTATAGCCCCCAAGCCCCTCCCCTGTATCCGCCCCTGAGGGTATGGGAAATCGGGTATACTATAAATCGGCAATAGTGAGTTTTGTTATATCATTGAGGGTTTTCGACTTATAATTGACAAATTATTATCATCCATGGTCACTACTGTAACTCAAAAACCTGCCAACTTTATCATAACAAATTTTTAATATGTTTTACAAAAGCATCTTTACATCATTTCGTACATTATCTTTGAAATCAAAGATGCGATATTTAACGTTATACAGCATATTCTACATATCTGTAATACATTTACTTAGGTATAAAAGTACTGTTTGTGGGATATAAAATCATTCTATATACTAATATAATATTTATCATACACTACTATATCCCTAGTCCAAAATTCGGGGTGACGGTAGACCTTATATAGAGAAGGCTATGGCTGAGTCTAATTTACTTATATTAGCACTCCAACAGTCTAAATTGTCATTTCGCGCGATTTGTCATTTATTCACTGTATAGTTTTAATCATTCATTTAATTGGGATATTCCCGCGAGCCTTAAATGTCAAGTCTTTGTTTGGCTCAAATTTCACTTAATTCTCATAAATTAACTAATTGTCTTATATATGCACTCAAGATATCATATTTATAATTATAATATACAAAAATAATCAACCTATATCATCTCTACTTTAACAAAGGAACTCAATGGTAAAGATATTATAATATTTCATAATACGTATTCATATTTGCCGTCGTATACAGTATACTTCGATAATAGGGGCCATCTGTTAATCGGGTTATTTGGCCAGAGATAACCGTATGCAAAGCAAAGAGTTAAATAGCACCGGCTAATCGGACTAACTCATTTATTCCGTTGAATCGAGTAAAATTTCCCTAGCAACGAAGGAATGTCTCAGGAATGTAACAACATTCCAATCCCAAATTTTTTCCTAACCGAATGACCGCTTGTCTAGTTATGCACATATCGACCTTCTAAATGATCTATTAACACGATTTTACTAATCGACGTCAGCGGTCACTCAATTGGCTGATATTTTACATAACATCAACTTAAATACACGATTTTATCGTATCTTTTGTTAATCCAGTCGGACATGCTGAATCATGCAAATTTACTGTTGTTTTTATGAATGTATAGTGAACAAATTATCCATATCTCGGATATAAGTACAGGTTTGCTCTAAACGGCTACCCAGGCGTAACTAAGTACGCTGAATACGAATTTCGCATTTTCAAGTTTCATATGTAAAATTATTGTTGTTTTCAGGTATTTAAAGTAAACAAATATCAAAATTGTGGTAGAATCATGCTTTCAAAGGTTGTACACGGGTAATCGAGTATGCTGAGTCCGAATATGGCATTATTTGTTTGTTTGTCCGTTGATATGTAAATTTATTGTTGTTTTCTGAATATAAAATAAACAATTTAGCAAATTTCAAAAATTACGTAGATACTTGCTCTCAACTGCTACAAAGGGGGTTAATCTTGCAAATAATTCAATAATGTATATGCCATATACATATATTTGTGATATACTTGTTCTATATATGAAGTGATAGAGTTTTCAGTACAAGTCTTTGTAAGTTCAGAGAATTTTTGAATCACGGCTTCAAGGAAAAAGTTTTGCATATATTCTATGTCAAAAATGCGACCTGGAAATCGAGAATTCAGCGATGGGTTAAGAAATTTCAGACAGAGAGAACTGTAAAATCCTAACCAGTAAGTCCCAAGACCGTGCAAGTCATTCCGAGGGAAATAGTTCTGAAGAATGTAATGGGAATTTTGCTCTAAAAATCCAAAATGGAAAGATTTTTCTGAGGTTCATCTAAAACATAAGCTCTAATACTCGTAGACTTTCAACCTACGATAATAATAGTTTGTATTCGTCTTGTATTTCAGCTCCATAGCTATAAGGTTTTGTTAATCTTTCCTAAATATTATGCATAATTGTTCGGGCCCAGTTATTTTGGCCCACCCTATATATGGGTTCTCTGATCAAATTTCTACATCACTTGTTAGCAAAGTATAGAGTCCCATAATTCAAATTTACAATTGTTCTCGACAATTAATCATAAATTACATATACTTGGGCCAGCTACCAAGATATACACAATATGGTAAATGAATACATTTATACTCGTGTTAGTAACAAAACAGAGGATAAATCTTGTATTCATGTTGTGTATAATATCGGAAAATTGTGGAAAATGCAAAAGTGGTAATAAAATCAAACAATTTAATCTGTCAGAAGTTTATTACATTAATTAACTCTAATACACATACCTGCAAAACGTCCAGGGATTTAATTGGGACAGGCATTGAAATCCTTGGACGAGCGAGCGTAGCGAGTGAGAACAAATTTTTGGTGTACAGGGATTTTACCAAAGCCTAGAGGATATTTGGGCTCCGCCCAGGCCTCCAAGGATTGATGTCAAAGGTATGAATTACGGTGAAATTCGGATAAGCTGAAGCCCTTTAAGGAAACAAAAATTAATATTTACTATCCGAATGTACGTGTTATCCAGATAGATATTCTATCAAAGTCAATGGTTACTAATATTTTATTTGAAGAAGAAGTACTATTTAAGATAATACTGCTAGGTCGCTACTGTGTCCTCGGAACCGAACGTCGTGCTCGTATTTATCTTAAGTATATAACACCTTGCTTTTGGTCGCTGTGCGACTCAATATACTCGGCGGAGTACCTGGAGGAGTACCTGGAAATCAATTACAATGTCATATTTTCGTCCAAGACTCGACCTGGCCTAAATATCTCTTATATAAGCCAAAATTAGCCCTGGGGAACTTACAGTTTCCTCAGTCAAATCTGATCATACA